CTATGTGGGATCTGAACCCTCGTCAGGAGCGCTGCCGTGCTCTCAAGCGGCGCACTGTAGCAGTGTGCCACCGGGCCGGCCCCAACATACTTATTTTTAAAAATCACATTTTAAAGCATCCACAGTGGAGGGGAAGGGGAAATTCTTCATACATCCATGACTATAAGATCATAGAATCCTCGCACTGTCTGATTATGATAAAATTCTTGAGATTTTTAGTTTTAGTTTTTTTAATTTTAATTTATTGTTTCATTGTACGTATTTATGGGGTACAGTTTGTTGTTTCAATGCATGCATATATAATGATCTAGTCAGAATAGTTAGCATACCTATCACCTAAACATTTATCATTTCTTTGTGGTTATAACATTCAAGATCCTCTTTTCTGGCTATTTTGAAATATACAATACAATTTTAATAGCTATTTTCATCCTGGGGCACCAGAACTTATTCTTCCTATCAAGTTTTTTTAAGTGCTTCAATCCTTCTTTATCATAAAGTAAAAAGCTAGGAAATTGGCTATTATAAATGGGCTTTTTTTTTTGGACCGGTAAGGGGATCGCAGCCCTTGGCACGGTGTGGTCTGCACCACGCTCAACCAGTGAGCGCACCGTCCATCCCTATATAGGATCCGAACCTGCGGCCTCGGCGCTACCCAGCGCCGCACTCTCTGGAGTGGGCCACGGGGCCGGCCCTGTAAATGGGCTTTTGATGGCAAAGTTTAGTTTGACTCTAGAAAGCACCTACAAAGATGGACAGAGAAAGAGAGAGAGGGCTTTTACCTTGGAATTCAACCTAAGTCACTGGGGCCTAATCAGGAGAGGAAGAGTTCCAGGTAGATAGTTTCTCAAGTCCTTTTCAGTGGTAAGAGTCTATGACACTGTGTTTAATGTGCAGAATCACTGTAGTTTTTCCTTCGCAGACATGTCAGTGACAACCACACCTGTGTGAAGACCAAACACGATGAAACGATGGCCATTTTCTTTACCAGTGGAACAAGTGGATCTCCTAAAATGACCGGACACACCCACAGCAGTTTTGGTTTAGGATTGTCTGTAAACGGAAGGTACTTCCACAGAGCTGCAGTTTGAAATGTCGAAACTGCAAAGATGATTTATGTCCTGATCTTTTAAATGTGTTTTCCTGTATACATCAGGGTTATTTGTTTTCCCAGGTTCTGGCTGGATTTGATACCCTCGGATGTGATGTGGAATACCTCAGACACAGGCTGGGCAAAGTCTGCATGGAGCAGTGTTTTTTCTCCATGGATCCAGGGGGCATGTGTATTCGCACACTATTTGCCCCGTTTCGAGCCAACTTCCATCTTGCAAGTAAGGCAGAGCACAAGAGGTCAACATTTAGAAATGTGTTAGCAGCATCACTGACAGGACTGGTGAATAAAGTGACTTGCAGAGATCAGAGTAGATAACATGATTTAAGATATTTCACACCCAGTAAGTCAAAAAGCCTGAAAAAATATACAGAGAAAAGGGATGGGTGTATTTACAGTAAAACAATGTTTAAATTGTGCTGTGCCTGCCATAGACATTTAAGCACTTATTCAAGTTGTAGTAAGACCAGTTTACTTTTTCTAAATTGCAGACACTCTCCAACTTTCCCATCACAGTCTTCTGCTCAGCACCAACCGCATACCGAATGCTTATACAGGATATGACCAGGTAAGAAATGTTGGTAAATGGCCATTTAGTGGGGGGAGGGGAGAGGAAGAAGAAGCTATAAAATAAAAGACCTTTCTGCCTAAAAACATAGCTCCGGACTAGTAGGTACAGGAGTTAGCAATCTCCTCCCCTTCTTTCTTCTTGCTTACATTCTGGGCATGATAATTACTATGCCCAGAGCAGGGTCCCCTAAGCAAGGAGAGTGAAGGAAAGATTCAGCCACATCTATAGTTCTTGGCACCGTGGTTATAGGTAAGAAGGCATTTAATCCCTTGGGTGATGGCTGTTACTGTCATCCAAGAAAGTAGAGAAGTTGCTCCAGTTTGGAAACTTATCCCAGCAAATAGAAAAGGGGATGTGAGGGCCGGCCCATGGCTCAGTTGGGAGAGTGTGGTGTTGATAACACCAAGGCCATGGGTTCGGATCCCTATATAGGGATGGCCGGTTGGCTCACTTGGGAGAGCGTAGTGCTGACAACACCAAGTCAAGGGCTCTATCACTAATTCTTATTTGAAAGGGTGGATTGGTAATTTGAAAAACAAAACAAACAAAAAACTGTTTTTCTATACTCACAATACTGAATACTTCTGGTTTCCATATGTGAGGGATTTTTCTCCACACCAGCCAATTCTCTGCCATCAGCTGAGTGTCCTACAATTTAATTCAATTCTGACACTATCTCCCTGAAGTTAGCATCAGATTCCACAGGTTAAGGGCTCAGTCCCCCAAGACTGCTCCCCACTTCAGATGCCAATTGCAAGTCCAGGTGCTTCTGACTGACTGGCTATAAATTGGAGGTTCTCACAACCCATCATTAGGTTCAATAATTTGCTGTGATGGCTCACAGAACTCAAAACAAACTTCTGGTTTGTTACAAAAGATGTGACAAGGGAGACAGATGAACAGCCAGATGAAGGGCTTTATAGGGTGAGGCCCAAAAGGGTCCCCGTGGAGTTGGGGTTCACCACCCTCCTGGCATGTGGAGCTCTCTAAATCCCATACCCTGGGGATTTGAGGGAGGGGCTTCATCACATAGGCATGATTGATTATTAACTCAATCTCCAGCTCCTCTCTCCTCCTGGAGGGTGGTGGGTGGGCTAAAATTTCCGAGCTTCTAATCATGGCTTGGTCTTTCTGGTGACTAGTCCCCCATCTGAAGCTATCCAAGAACCCACTGAGAGTTGCCTCACTAGAACAAAGATATTCCTATCACCCAGGAAATTCCAAAGGATTTAGGAACTCTGTGTCAGGAACTGAGGTAAAGACCAAATATTAGAACAAAAGATATTCTCGCACCCCTATCACTTAGGAAATTACAAGGATTTTAGGAGGTCTGTGCCAGAAACCTGGGAGGAAGTCCTAATATATATTTCTTGTTATGTCACAATATCACATGTAAATATTTTCAGATTGATTTTATTTAATTTTTGAGTAGGAAATAATTCACATGTCATAAAATTCAATAGAAATACAAGAATGTGCAGGTTGAATATCCCTTATCTGAAATGCTTGGGACCAGAAGTGTTTTGGATTTTAGATTTTTTTTTTTGGAATATTTGCATTAATTTACTGGTTGAGCATCCCTAATCCAAAAATCCAAAATCTGAAATGCTCCAATGAGCACTTCCTTTGAGTGTCATGTTGGTGCTCAAAAATTTCAAATTTGGGGGCCGGCCCGGTGGCGCATTGCTACAGTGCGCCGCTTGGGAGCGCGTTGGCACTCCCGCCGAGGGTTCGGATCCCACATACAGACCGGTTCCCGCTCACTGGCTGAGCGAGGTGCGGGCGCAGCACCGAGGTTTGCGATCCCGTTGCCGGTCCCGGTCCGGTACGGGCGCGACACTGAGGGTTGTGATCCGTTGCCGGACACGAAAAAAGACAAAAAAAGGAAAAAAAAAATTTTCAAATTTTGGAGTGTTTCAGATTTCAGATTTTTGGATTAGGGATGCTCAACCTGTATAGAGAAAAGTCTTCCTCCAGACCTTGCCCCTAGTCACCCAGATCTCCTCCTTCATGGAGGTAGACTATGTTCCCAGTTTCTTACCTATTCTCCCTAAAAGTATGCAAGCCAATATGCATATGTCCTCACCCTCTCAATTACAAACACAAATGGTGGCGTAATGCATACACAGTTACACACCTTGCTTTTTTCCTTCTAACAATGCATCCTGGAACTATGATGTCTAATATGGTAGCCACTAGCCACATTTAGTTATTTAAATTTAAATTTTAATTAAATAAAAACTTCAGTTCCTCAGTTGTATTAGCCATGTTTCAATGCTCAATATTCATAAAGGGCTAGTGGATACTGTGGTGGGTAGTGCAGATTATAGAACACTGCAATCATGACAGGAAGTTCCATTGGACAGCACTGTCCAGGAGCTTCCTCATTATTTTTCATAGCTGCATAGTGTTCCATTGTGTAAATATCCCACAGTTAGTTTAACCAAACAATGGGTAAACTTTTTTTTTTTTAAAGATGAACAGTAAGGGGATCTTAACCCTTGACTTGGTGTTGTCAGCACCATGCTCTCCCAAGTGAGCCAACCGGCCATCCCTATATAGGGATCCGAACCTGTGGCCTTGGTGTTATCAGCACCATACTCTCCCAAGTGAGCCACAGGCCGGCCCTAACGGGTAAACTTTTAATTGCTGATTTAAAATGATATTATGGGTTACCTTCCCTAAGGCTGGCATGGCTTTCATTTGCAACAAATTACTGTGTCCTCCCCCCTGCCCAAAGAAAGGGGAAAAAAGACAAAGAAAAACTGGTATTTTGGGTGTCATTTTATGATGTTAGAATGGTTTACTTTGTATTGGGGAGGGAAATCAATGAAGGTACTAAAACACATTTTATACTGAAGTTCTTTAGAAATAATCCTAATTCCCATTTCTCTCCATTTTTCCTCCTAAATCTAACTCATTGTCTGTTTTCTGAGAAGCTGTAAGTTCAAAAGCTTAAAGCACTGCGTGAGCGCTGGGGAACCAATCAACCCTGAAGTGACTGAACAGTGGAGGAATAAGACAGGCCTGGATATCTACGAAGGTTATGGACAGACTGAAACGGTACCTGACCTCACTGAAAAGACAGGGCTGGACTCGATTTAGTCAGATGAATAAAAACCAAAGTGTCCATTATATCCTTATGATTGAGGTACAGGGAAGTAGTGGAGTAGTTTGAAAACAGTTTGAGGGAAGCTACTTACAAAAAAGCTCTGTAGCTGATATAGTTGTTTAAATAGCCATTCAAAGAGAAAAACTTCAATTAATTGATCAGGATGAGGACATTACAATATTTTTTTTATAACATGAAAAATTATTAGATCTACAGAAAGAGAGATTTCACCCTCATGTGACAGGCTGTGTCAAAATGGAAAATGCTGAATTCCTTGATACTTGAAATACTAGGAGTGTGCTGGGCAACTCCTTGGCAAGCATACTCTAAAAAGCATTCTTTACAGGCTCATAGAGATAAGACTAAGAAGAAATTCTAATTAATGAAATAAGAAAAAAAGTGGTCATTTTGCAGAAGAGAGCAGACAAGGGAAAGGTTGAAAAAAACTTTTCACAGTGTGTCTTTTTATAGTGGTTCAGTTTATAAACCATGAGAATGTATTACCTGGTCAAAAATTAAGATACCAAAAGCAAATAAAAAAAAAAATTGACAAATTATTTAAACAGAAAAGCAAAAGAGTATGCTAATACAAGTATAAGTGTTAATATACTTGTTTTATCAGTTTTTTTTTTTTTTTAAAGATGACCGGTAAGGGGATCTTAACCCTTGACTTGGTGTTATCAGCATCACGCTCACCCAGTGAGCAAACCTTCCATCCCTGTACGGGGATCTGAACCCATGGCCTTGGGGTTATCAGTACCGCACTCTCCCAAGTGAGCCACAGGCTGGCCCTAATATACTCGTTTTAATAAACACGGATATTTTAGTAATTATAAATTTATTGTTATAACTTTATTATATACATTGGTATACTGTCAATCTCTACACTCCACGAGAGCAGAGACTGTTTTATTTTGAGTCTGGTTCATAATAAATTCTCAATAAATATTTGTTGACTGAATGCATGATAGATGAATTAATGAATTTTAAATTACTTATAATGTCACCTTACTTTTTCTTCTTCTTAACTAGGTGTTAATCTGTGGAAATTTTAAGGGAATGAAAATTAAGCCTGGCTCAATGGGAAAGCCTTCTCCTGCTTTCGATGTTAAGGTTTGCACATCCCCTTCTGGGAGCATGTTTAACAATTCAGTCTGTTTCCCACCTGCCCCCATACACACTGCTTGCTTTGGTGATGATTCCTTTTACTTCCATGATACTTTAAGTTCTATGCAAAGATGGAAATGGGTTAGAAATGTTAGTTACTGTTCTCTATTATTTTGCAAATACCTATATTGTCCCGTGCAGCTCTAAGCATTTTGTAAGTATTAACTTATTTAATTCCAGAGGAACCTATGAGAGACCAAATGGATGAGTTTACAGAGTAGAAAGCTCAGACCCAAACTTACCTGAGGGTTAGTTATAGATAGATCAATGTTTCCCAAGCTCATCTGATTGTAAGAATCACATGGTTACTTGTTAAAAATACTAATCTGCAGGACCCTTCCTTGGAGAGTGCGATTCAATAGAATTGGGGTGGGACCCTGAAATATGTGTTTTTAAGAAGCAATCTGAGGTAATTCTTATGCTCAGGTAAGTCTGAGAAAGTTTAGATGGCCTTGATTGCTGTTGTCACTGTTTATAGAATAAATCAGATACTAGGTCCTCTCCTTCACTTTAACCTTGCTATGAGAACCTTGTCTAAAGATAGGATTACCTAGTGGTTCAAGTTTATCGCTGTTATTCATTAGCTCAGTGTCTTGAGTAAGCTGTTAAAGCTCTCTAAGCCTCAGTCTCCCGATTTGTAAAATGGGGGTTAGGGTGACCAACTTGTCTCTGTTTGCCTGGGACTTATCTAATGTTAGCACTGGAAGTTATACGGGGATCCTCCCTCTCTCCCTCCCCCACCTCAGGCCCAGGCAAACTGGGATGGTTGGAAACCTTGATAATAACAGAACTGATTTCATAGGTTTCTTGTGAGGAGTAAATGAGATAAGATCTCTAAAGAGCAAAGCAAAGTGCTTGGCACATAATAAAGGTCCAAAGGAGAGCTGCTGTTATTATTCACCTCTCCCTCACATTCCCCTACTTTGAAAAGCTTTTCTAAGAAAAAATGGTAGGGCGGGCCCTAGTTACATAATTGGTTAACAGGCTGCCCTTGACTGGAAAAAGAAACATTGATAATTAAGCATGTCTGCATTACAGGTAGGTTTGACATTTCACACAGCTGCCGGTTTTGTTTTTCAGGGGTTTTTTTTTTTTTGCATCTGGCCGGTAGGGGGACCCAAACCCTTGACCTTGGTGTTACAATATCATGCTCTAACCAACTGAGCTAACAGGCCAGCCATACACCTGTGTTCTTTTTCTTTCCTTTTTAATAACAACTTCCAGCATACATGGCTATCAGGGTCTTACAGGCACAGCTATACTCAGTGATCCCAATTGCAATGTACCCCCACCAGTTCCCCACTAATTTGAGCCCAGTGGTTTTTCTGGAGCAGCTATCTTTGAATGTAAAAATGATGTGGCTGAAAGGAAAACAGTACTCTGTCTGCATCCCCAATCAGCACTGCTACTTTCATTTTTAACTCTTTTCCAAGGGCTATTACTGGGCCTTCTGTTCCTCAGCTAAGAACATTTCCAATGACCTTCTGGCATCCATGCTCCAACCACCTAGATATCAGATTCTTACAGTTTCAAGGCCCAAGTTCATAATTTTCATGTTTAAACATTTTAAGACCCTTTGAACAATGAGGAACTTGATTCTCCACAGAGATAGAAGATTCTATTTTCCCATTAATTAAAGAGTAGTCTGTGATCAGTAATTGAAACTCTTAATGCACCTTCTGTCCATCAGTAATTCCTTGGTACCTGGAGCCAAATACTTCTTTAGATGACTGGGTGGGAATTTATATTTTTTACTGGCAAGAGCTTAAAAGGAAGTTTTTACATTTAGAATTCTTTTGCCTTTCAAGTTTCTCATTTGGCACATAAGCCCTTTTCCTTCTGGAAACTTGTATTGTACTTATTCTCCATGCAAGCCACACCTCAGGTTTTAAGGCATCTCCTGGATGAACATAAAAGCCAAGTGGAGTTTTGAAACCTAGACACAGCTCAAAGTCATTTAGTACAAAATCTGGCATACAAAATAAGCAATCAATCCGAGAAATGCTAATCCGGATTTTTAAAAATTGTATTAAACTCCCTAGAGACATTGCAGAGAGGAGTATAACAATTAAAAGCATAGGATCTGGAGCTTGATTGCTGAGATCTGAATTCCAGCTCAGTCATGTACTGTGTTATCTAAACTCTTTGCAACTCAGTTTCATCATGTGTAAAATGGGCATAATAGTTCTAACCATTCAGGGCTGTTGTAAGGATTAAAGAAAATAATACATGTAAAATACTTAAAGCTTTAACATTTATTATTTAGCATGCAGTAAGTGCTTAATAAATGTTAGCTACTATTAGGCACTTCAGAGAACCATGAGGATTGGGAGAGGGTAAGAGAACAAGGCTTTGGCTTACTCACCACTGTCTCAAACCAGAGAACATTCTCCTTTTCCTGTTTACTTATATTGGGCTTCTGAAGGAAGGTTTTATATGTTCCACAGCTAAACAAAGTTTGAAAACCAATAATGAAGATATTTATTTACTGAGAGGAAAAAATAATCAAGATATTGTTAAATGATAAAAGCAGGTTGCAAAGCTGTATATTACGAAGTGATCCTATTTTTTCCTATGTCTATATTGTCTCAAAGGATATTCCAAAATGTGATGATTTCTGGATGGTAGAATTTAAATAAACACATTTCTTTTAGGAATCTAAAGTACAGTTAAAGTGTTTTTGAAGTCTGCATTCTTTTTTTTTTCTTTTTTGGTGCTGGCCCGTAAGGGGATCAGAACCCTTGACTTTGGTGTTATAACACTGAGCTCTACCCAACTGAGATAACCAGCCAGCCAAGTCTGCATTCTTAAATGGCAAACAAAACAAAACATACAAAGTTAAGATTTATGAGGATGTGGTATTAAATAAAAATCCCCTTAAATAAATTGTTCTCTTTTATCCTAGATTTTAGATGTAAATGGCAATGTTCTACCTCCTGGACAAGAAGGAGATATTGGCATTCAAGCCCTACCTAACAGACCATTTGGCCTTTTTACTCACTATGTAGTAAGAGACTTATTAAATAATATCTTATTTTCTATTTATTTCTCAAAAGTGCTTGGTAATGATCCCTATTTGCCACAAAACATACCTAGGACAGATACTTGGCCCTTTCTTGAGAGATTCATTGTCCTGAATAGTAATCCTACAGATGGAGGACTGGAGAAACACCCAAATGCTTGCTAAAGAAGAGCACGCTGGTGCCCAAGGCTAGATCACTGTTCCAGTCCCATGAGGCAAGAGGAAGGAAGCCCAAGAAAGAAGACAGCCTCCTAACACCCGTGCTCTCTCAACATCCATAAATCTTTTCAGCTATCAAACAGGATCCACTCATTTTCCTGAAATCTCATTAGTGCCCTCCCTTCTTGGGAGGAGTGAGAGGGATAGGGAATGGGGTAGTGGGATTAAGTAAATTCCTTTCACTAGAGGTTTTCCAAGTTCCTTACTGTTTGCAAGCTTATTTTCATCTCTAATCACAGTATACAAATTAGAGCAAATTTTGTATCGATATAATAAAAGGTCTGGATTCTACTTGCCAGCAACTTTACATAATACATATTCGTTTTTCTTCTTATGACAGAGTTATAAAACCAATACTGATTTTGTGTAAAACAAAACACAACAACAAAAAAAATTGTCTGGTCTTTCAATTATCAGGTGCTGGGGTCCTCTTTTAACCCTGAGTGTTACTTCACTCTTTCCCTACCAGCATTAGATATTAGTCAATTTCTTACTCTGGCTCTTCTTCATGCTAAGGACTCTCAAAAGAGCCAAACTTTTCTTTTTCCTTGAACATTTAAAAATCCAACTGAGCAGAAAAGTCATATTCACAGTAATATTAACAAAATGCTATTTGTTTTGCAGAATGATCCTTCAAAAACAGCTTCAACTTTACGAGGCAACTTCTATATCACTGGGGACAGAGGGTATATGGATGAAGATGGATATTTGTGGTTTGTTGCAAGATCGGATGATATCATATTATCCTCTGGGTAATTTTCTTTTCCATCTGTGCATATATCTGTGTTAACTGGTTATCAGCATTCTGGAGTGAACCTACTGCTCACCTTTATAAATTCCTGCCATATGCTTTCCCAGTTATCGAATTGGACCATTTGAGGTAGAAAGTGCCCTCATGGAGCACCCTTCGGTTGCAGAATCAGCTGTTGTCAGCAGCCCAGACCCCATCAGAGGAGAGGTAAAAGAACTGATTCATCTCAATGTTATAATTTGTTGGCAACCTAACATATACTTTTAAATAGTAGTTCATTGAAAACAGAATTGCCCAAATGCTTCATTCACTAAATATGCAAGTTGGAAATTAATTTACTAAATGCAAGTCAGATAGAACTATGCTAGCCAGCAAGAACTGCTACAGAATAAGTAGCAGTTCTTGAATTTGAATATATATACATGTGTATGTGTGTGTGTGTGTATATATATATATGTATATATATATATATATATATATA